GAATTTTAATTCATCTGTCCATATTATTTTTTTACTAATATTTCCAACTTCCCTATTTCTATGTCTTAACCACTTCACAAATCGTACTCTCCTTCCTTAATCTGTTTCATTGAGGTGATGAACTTTGTGTATCCTGTAGCATTTATATTTGTTCTTTTTCAAAATAGTTCTGGTGGATTTTACTGAAATCCCCATTCAGTGAGCAATTTCTCATAAAGAACAAACTTGATTATCATAATTTTTGTAACGGCCAATCTTAAATAAAAAAAAAGATGTTTTCACTGTGTAAATTTTTAAGTGGTAATATTTGCTTACCCATAACATTTATTTGATTCCTCACACTTCCAGTAACCACACATTTGGATGTTCGGAATACGACAATTCGGGTATATCAACATATATATTCCTTGCCAGAAGAGGATTTTTATTTGATTTTGCATAACTAAATAGCATATCAGTCCTTACCTTATTATTTCTACTTTATTATTTCTACTTTATTCTTTCTACGATTTGCAAGCATATCATAAGTAAAAACAAATATACTTTTTTGTTAATTCATGGATATACTTGACAAATGGGTCACTTTTCCTAATGAGAAATTTGATTCCACAATATGTTAAAAATCTACCATTTTGAAAACAAAAATATCTACTGAGGAAGATACGGTGTTAGCAAAACACGTCTATAAATCAAAATATTTGTGAAAATTGTTTAATTATTATCGTGGATATAACGAATGTATTAGATTATTAAATCTATCAGTGTACATAACGCTCTTCTCCAAATTTATATAGGTTGAGCTCTATCCATTTCTGAAGCTACAGAGGCTGGTCCATTTAATCATATTTTAGTATTGCACATAAGAAGGTAAAATATCACGTTTTCTAACTTGTACTGAATTGAAGTAGTAAAGCTAATTCTGGTGTGATTCTTTAGCAAAAAATATTTATATTTTTTAGCAAAACAATAACCAGAATTTTCTCTGCAACATGTCTTTGAGTCAGAAGTCTAAACTATTATTTTGAACTAGGGAAGTCTTGGAGATAATCTTTCTAATTTTATGGAATTCTTAGAATAATGTTTCTAAACTTGAACTTACTAGATGATGATCTGCTGGACGTAGATGGTTTGCTGCTATTACTGCTGCTTCCACCACCACCTCCTCCTTTTTTAGATGACTTTCCAGAACTGACTAAAATGAAAATCAAACAGTGACTTCACAGAAAATATTATACAAGTGGCAGCAGATACAAACTATAAAGGACCTTTTAAAATAAATTACATATTGAAGTTTCAATAAAGTTATTAAGTAATTAACTTCCAACAATGAATAAAAATACATGATACATAACAATATGTTGATTCTTTAAACACACTAGGATCTCCCAAAAAATGACTTCATTGACACATCAGTTCAATTCTTGTTTGAAATTAACTATTATGAAAGATATCAAAAACAGAATTCATCTTGAATAATAGAGAAACTTTTTTCCATCTCTTATTGGTTGATGAAAACTTATGATTGTCATCAGTATTCATGTTTTAATCCTTTGAAGGCTTACTTTTGATGCCAGCTGAGGATGTTCTAACCATTTTTTCCAAATAAGAAACCAACCAGATTTAAGATCAAACAAATGTTAATAGAGTATTTTTATTTGTTTAGGTCTGGTACATTTCACAAAAAAACTCTTTGATATCACCTCACCAATACTACCATTCTATATAGAAATTTCATATTTTAACCTATAAAAATACATTCCCGCATTTTCGGATTTGAATGACAGAATGACCAGTGCTCAGTGCTGCCACAACCTTTGGAAAATAGTACCAGAAGGTAAACGAATAAAGTACTAGTTCGACAAAAATATTTAAAAAGCGAATCCGTGATATCAGCATTGATTTACCCTTTTCTTGCTGAAGGTACACTTTTTCATAAATTTAAATAAAAATTCAACAATAACAAATAACTTTGTCTTTGGGATCACCAAACGTGAAACAGACTAACAATTGTTCTCTTATGTTCCATACATGCGGTCGATTAACTGGCCACGAAATTAATCGGGTACCAGGTACACTGCTGTTTGGGTCGGATCTTTCCTGCACTGATGCGAGGTAATACTACAGAACTGGTCTGTAGGTGACCTACTCGATGGTCCTGCTGCTGGATGAACGAGAAATATCTCCATAACTAACGTCTGTAGGTATCTTGCGTAAATGTCTGACGGATATAATTCAATGTCCAGCGTGACATTAACCGGGGAAATAAATGTTAATGGTTCTTCAGTTCCACAGCTGTCCCCTACGGCTAATGAGGATGAGATTTGGACTGCTGAACCAGAAACCATTGTTGAAAGTTCACTGTGCTATGACCAGAAGGTTCAATATCTAATGGAAGTAAATGTTTTCTGTAAGGTATTTATCTGAAACTATTGCGTAGATAAGTTGGGAGAGATGAATATTTCGAGATTTTATTTCGAAATATTTATTATCTTATACGTATATATCTATATTTGATAAAGTCTTCAGACTTGTTTGGATCTCTTTCAACGTATTATTAAGGTTCTTCCAAAATATTGTTTTCATGTTTTTCCAAAATTGAGAATTCAAATGAGAAACCAAAGAAACCAGAAGCAATATCTTTGAAGTTCCACCTTTCATGAGATTACAAAACTTATTAACTCAATGGTGAATGTATTGTAATTTGTTCATGTCATGTAAATAAATATTATTATTATCATTATCATCGATAATATTTCAATGATGGTTGAGCAAAGAATCAAAAAAATATGTGGAAAAAACTACGTGTTATTAATATTGTAATTTCGGAACTAATGGTTGAACGCAGCTAATTGATCATGAAAAAACTTTGTCTGTACCAGTTCGCAGTGCCACTCGATCAACGACTGAAACTAAATACTTGACTGAAAAAAGTTACACTTTTTTTCACCGATACTTCCTCTACGATGTTTTTGATTTTCATTAGGAAGAAAGTACAATAATGTCATTTAAATATATGAAAATGTGCGTTTCAAACTCTGCCCTAAAAAGTGCATGAACTGGCATCTTTTGAGTTTGTGCATAATTTACAGTTTGATACCCTCTGAAGAGCAGTGTTTGCAGTTTTTATTAGACTCTCTTTGCCTTTGGCTATCACGACCATAGCAATGTATCCAGCGAATCCAATTAGCGTGACTCCAACTTGTTGTTTCAGTCTTAGAAGACCATCACAAAAATGTTCCAGAGCATTGGTCGTAGAACGGATCCTTGAGGTACACTGCTACCTACTGATTTGTTTTGTTCTCAGAGTATTATCTGCCTCCATGATGATCTCTCTCTCTCTCTCTCTGTCAAATATGACCTCAATATACTCAAGAGGCTCTCGTTAACACGTCTCCTTCTCCAATCCACCAGGAGTTTTGCGGTGTTGAGGGCATTCCTAATGCCAAGCGTTATTATCACGCATAATCTCCGGTGTGCCACGATAATGATTGTATAATATTTTTGAGCTGAGAAGGTGAAAGAGAAAGGAGGAATTGATACTCTCCAAAATTTCTAGGCCCTTCTTTCCAACCAAACTAACATTTCTTTCGCTATGCAAAAGTCCTAGTAGATTTTCTCAAATATTTAAAATGAAATATGAGATCAATTACCTTATTTATATTTTTTACGAAGAGATGTGGTGTCTAATTGTTACAAATAGGGGCTCTATATCTTTTATAGAAATCTCTGACATACTTTTTCATGTCCTCCAAGGTTCTTCTGAAAGTCTATCATCATTCATGACTCTGTTGCGACTAAGAAGGGTTGATGAGATTTGGCAATCTTGATTGACTTCTCCGATTACAAGCATTCTAGATGTACAACCAAGTAAATTCACAAATCAAATGTAAGATTTTGAACTTGCTATGTTAGATTTATCTGTATTGACACAGAAATATTTGTGTATTGGTTTTCTCAAACTTGTCTACTGACCTACGGTGATTTGTTGGCTGCTGATCAGAATTTTCATCAGATAAGTGAAATGATTCTGGATTTACTAAACAACAAACATACCTGGATGGACCTGATAAACTTTAACATCTGCAATTTCCCAACGTTTATAAGGAGTAGTTAGTGTTGAAATTATCTATACTAATTAATGCTAACTTAGATTGATATTCTCTTAACTAACGCTATAGACGGAATTCGACTTCAAGACTACTTTATTGGAGTGGGATCTGTAATAAACCCTATAAACATACTGTTTGCATCAAGATCACAAACAACAGAATATGCATGTATCTTTCGAGCAAAGAGATAGTCGACAAATTTATGAACGAAAATGGAATGATTGAAATAAACGGCGAATCCTTAAGAGCCAGGCGACTGATAACTCCTGCTGAGCGGTTTGTTTTGTCCAATTCCTCATGACCTATTTAACCATGAATTACAAAAAATTGGTCTTTCCCCAGTTTCTCCAATAACCTTCCTGCGAATTAGCGCATCCGTCTCCGAATATAGCCATATCCTGAGTTTCAGACGACAGGTCTATATCAGCACTCCAGAAGAGACGATCCCGGAATCAATATTGATAACTTTTGATGAAACATATTTCGTCTCAATGCAAAACCTCGTCAAGTGAACAACCACCCGTGTCGGGTGAACGTACTGTAGATGATATATTAACACCAACCGAAGAAAGTACTCAAACGGACAAACAAGATACCACAGCTGATCCTTTTATCAAACCCTCGGAAACCTCTCGAGCCAAAAAACCAAAAATTACCAAGCAAATAGAAGATTTATTCAAACCTACGGAAAACTTCATAAAAACACACCCTCCTGCATTTGTATTAAATTATAGTCAAATTGAGGACCTTTTCGACAATGTTTGGGGATCCGCTGATCAAGTCAGTGTGGTTAAAAATTACACCAATGATCTATTACCATTGATAAATATGCTCACAGAAATATATCCACACTTCACTGAAAGGAATATCAAATCGAGGTGCACTAAACTTTTTGTTTCATCAAGAGAAATATTTTGGAGTGGAGATTTGGCTGAAGATGTTTCATTTTCTGAATTATCATTATTTTTACTGTTATCCGGTGGATCCTCTATTGAATTTTTTTCATCTTCAATTAGTTCTTGTTTCTCATTTACTACATCTTCCTCAGTTGAAATCTTTTGTGTTTTTATTGATGGATTATTTGTATCTCTCAATACCACATCTTTGGACAAATCTTCAGTATGTGAACCATTTTCATTTTTACTGCAATCTCCAGTGTCTGAATGCTTAGAAGAATTGGCATTAGATTGGAAAAAATTTGTTATTGGTTTCTGCCAAGATGGAGTTTCTTGGTGGGGAATAGGGGGAAGTCGTGTGCTACCTGAAACATTTTTTCTATTATCTTTTCACAAATCTATAAAAAAATAGAAAATAGATTCACACAGAGTGCTAATAAGATTTTTTTCAAGTTGACATTTCCAACATGTTTATGATTTTATCAAAACCATCAAATATGTGTACAATACTTATAGTTCA